GCTTAATGTAATTAATGTAATTATGATACACGCCGTAGAAAAGTTGCGGATAATCATTTACATACGCGTAACCAGTTAAGAAGACAGCTATTAATTTCGTGCAGAGCGATCGACATTTCTGTCATGGAATTAGAGCAATCGACATCACAGAGCTCGCGGATGAAAAATAAAATTCCAAAAACGCTTTAAATTCCGATGCCACTGTTGTTTCCTCAAAACCAATAAGAAACAGAGCTATTTCGCACGCATTTGTTTTCTCTTTTAATTGCTACAATTTTTGTTAAACGGAATCGCAAGGTAGTAAGAGAATATAAAAAAATTCTAGTTTTTTTAAAAAAAAAAAGAATAATTCAAGACCGGCAGACGAGCAGGCTTTACCTGAAAATGTATGAGTATTCTTTGACCGGAGGGGCCGAAGAGATCGTTGGATGCTCTGCAGGCGACGACGGCCATTGTCAGGATCTGCGCCAGGGCGCGGATGGCCAGCAGAATCATGGGGTCCACGTTACGGACCGCCTTAACCAGGGCGGAGCTGATGGTGAAGAAGGTGCCCGACAGAAACGCCAAAAACACCCCATACCACTTGGTACCATCCCGATAAGTCTCGCCATTGTTGGCAAACTGCTCGGTGTAGTGATAGGCCGGGTGGATGCTGTTGTAGGACGCCGTGGATTCTATACTGAACTTCATCGCGGTATGCAAACTGGAATCACCAAGAGGAAAAGATCGGACAAGCACTAAGCGCAAGCTGTACTGTCGTCACTCGCCCGACGCATCTGCGACACTGCCCGGCTGCAATTAACATAAGTTAGACGACCGACGGATTATTGCGGATCAATGACGTTAGGAAGATTCGGGCGAGTGGAGAAATGACCATGAGGCGAGACTGCCGATAAAAATAAGGGGATCGCTTTTTAGGACAGAAGAGAGCCGCAAACATAATCCATCAATAAAGAATGGGATGGAATAATATCATCTCGACTGAAAGTATCGGGATTTTTATTCGATTCGCGAATATATGTCAAAATTGTTGAATTATTCGAAAAATTCGAATTGTTAATTCGAATAATTCATTAATTCGCTCGATCCTAAATGGATAGAAATAAAAACGTGAATGTGTTTCATTGTTTATTGCAGAATTTGTTTTTTTATAATTAAAATTTATTCAGATAGTATATAAAGATAGCAATTTAGGATTTTATAATATAATCTAATTAACAATTTAATTATAATGAAAGTGAAGTAAAATTGAAAATTTGTTGACAACTCAAAAGAAATATTGAAAACATCGAAAATATCAAATTCTATAATTAGTATTGACATAATTAGAATACAAAACGTTACAAAACGTTGCAGTGCATACTAATAAATTTATATAAAAGAAAAGTTAATTACTCTATAGAGAAGACAATAACTTTATCGTTATGGAAAGGTAACAGAAATTTTACAAAAAAAATTAATATGAGCATATATGGATATATTTCATGTATAATTACATTACATATACATAATACATATATAATATATATATTTTTATATATATATA